GCTTCCGAGTAGCTGGGCACCAGCTGCTGGTTGGATCGTATGTGCCACTCCAGCTCAGTGCTGTCCACTGTGTTGACACGGGGCATCCTCCGGCAGAAGGAGCGCTCCTCGGCCGGTGTCACCGCCACGTAGTCGAACCCAAAGAGTTTCTCCACGTGGTAATGGACATAGGAGGTGCGGTACTCATTTAGCACCCGCAAGGGCCAGGATAAGGTCAGCAGAGCCGCCACCCAGAAGACATAGTGAGATACGTACCAAGGTAGGTTATCTGGGTCAGAAAAGGCCACCATGTATTCCTTGAAGTCCACATTTTTGAGGTGCATCCCCTCCCTGGCCTCCATGTAGTCATCCAGGCCCTCGTTCTCCGTGAAGAAGCGGGCCCGCTGGGTCAGGTAAGAGTTCTCCGACTCCACATTGGCGAAGCTGAAACACTTGGTGAAGCGGAGCCGTGTGGCTGGGTAGCTCTCCAGGTCAATGAGGTCCTTGGAGATGTCCTTAACTCCACAATTGGAATAATCAAACTCAGCCTCTGCCACGTGGGTGTTGACCCGCTCATGGTACACCTGGGTGGTGGTGTAGGCATCCCCGTTGCGGTAGCGGGTAACCTGCCGGGTCCTGCGGACATAGTGGTAGCTGATGGCCTTCCACCAGATGCAGGGAGTTGCCTGCTGCATTCGCTGCACACGCTCGTGCACACTCTCCACGTCTACTTTGTACTGCAGCTCATTGCGGGTGTAGCAGTGCCAACACTCCACGAGGTACACCACGTAGAGCATCACCAGGAAAGCCAAAGGGATGTAGACATAGCCGTTGGAACAGGGGCTGTCGTGGTACATCATGGACTTGCCCTTGTAAGCGCTGTCAAAGGTCAGCCGGGTCACCTTGGTGACGTGGCACCAGGTCATGGCTCCCATGCAGCCGTACATGAGGAGGGACAGCAGCAGGCATTTCCAGTGGGACTCTCGGCACAGGGACTTGCTGAGAGACTGCTTCACTGGCCGCTGCTGCTCCAGGTGACCGGGGAGAAGGGGAGAGAAAACAAGAGAGGAGTCAGTAGGCTGCAGCAGCAGGAGGAAGGGGAGCAGGCAGCAAGGTGTTATGGTAGCACCTACAGTGCTGTGAACAGGGACAAAAGAGCAGATGCTGTGGGGCTCCTAACCTCAGCGGGCAAGCCAGAGGCCAGGATCTCTTCCAGCATGACAGTCAAGCAGTGTGGGCAACAGTCACCCCCTCTTCTCTTCGTGGTGCTTTGCCCCTCCTTGGGAGGCAGACAGAGCCCGGCTAGATGTGGCAGAGGGCGACTCTGCCAGCCGCACCCCGAGCATCCCCCTACTTCAACTGAGAGTAACCCCTACCACTGCCACGTCCCTGGGACGGGTAATGAGACACAAGAAGATAGAGGCTGGGGGATCTCCCCCGCGTATTTCAGTTTCTGCACCCATCCCACCAGCACAGGCAGTTCTAATGGATGGGTCATTCTACCTGAACCCCTCACTACAACTCATCACTCCACACCTCTCACTGCTCACACAGGAGGCTCTCTCCTCTTCCCAGTAATGACCAACAGCAATATTCCAATTTCTCCCACCAGGAGGGCATGAGCCAACTGGGATGCCTGGAAGACGGAGAAACAGACCTTCTGCAGCTGGGAAGGTCTCTGATAATGGCAATTCCCACCACAACACTTGGCAGCCTAAGGGGCTCTGAAGTGCTTCTGAAGTGCTTTATAAACCACACCAATAGGAAAGTACTTTTCCATGAGTGAAATGCAGCCACCTCTGGTAGGAGAGAAAGCGAATATGGAGTAACATACTAAAAAGTGTTCAGGCTGGAAGACAAGAGCATCCTACCAATCTGCAGCAGCAGGGAGGGCAAAAGGCCACTCACAGCTGCTAGCAAATGTCCCTGCTTGCACTGGAATTCAGCTGTGACAGCCAACAATTCTGGAAAAAACTCCTCTTAGGTCTTTCATGGTGAGGAAAGGGCAGAACTTCAGCAACAGGACTTTTTAAAGGGACTGCACTGGTACATTTACCATAGGAACAGCACAGGGTTTCATCGAGACACATGACAAAGCCTTGGTTAAGGAAACCTCTGTCACTCTGCAACACTCTGATGTCTCAAGTATTGATCCAGCTTGCTCTGTGAGACCTGACATGGTCACACCCAAAGAAAGAATGGGCAAAGAGATTATTTTTTTTCTTGTACAAGAGACTTCATCCAGCAACCTCCAAAGGTGCAACCTGAGAGGGGGCAAGAACCCCAGCCTTGTGCAGATGCCATGAAATTCACTAAAAGGCTTTCAGCTTTGCTCTCCCACTCCACCGGCACACAGCACGGCTCCTGAGCTCACCTCTGCTGTGAAAGTGGCTAATGCCAGCTGTAACAACACCACTCACAGTACTGAAGCCCAAGCCTGGCTCCATTATTCTCCATTCCTGAGCACACTGGGCTGGAGAAGTTTCTTATCCAGGGATCCCAAAGAGCTGAATGGGCTCATACTGCTAGAAACCAAGAGGAGCACTTTCATTCTGGCATGAAAACGAAAATTAAAGCAAGAACCAGAGATCACAAGGCCACCAGCAGGTCCAGGGACAGATCTGAACGTCTTCTTTCCTTTAAGAAATGCATCCTTCTCTCCTGAAGAGCCTGTCAGTTCTGGCTTGGTCCCCTAGAGTCCCACAGGCCAATCTTTCCTCCCTACATCTTGTCAAAGTTTGGTCCACCCCATGCCAGTAGGACTTCTGCCACTGCACTCAGCAGGGCTGGATCCAGCCGAAATCTCCTCCCCTAGAGGCAAGGAGCTTCCCTGCCTGCCTGCCCCAGCAGCCAGTCTACGATGAGCAGAGTAGGCAGCACATCCAGAAGGACCACTGATGGCAAGGGAAATGGCTGGCAGTCCCAAACATCAGTAGTGCTGAGCCCCCTCTTTGGAGTCACCATCGGAGAGCTAGAGCTGGTGACACAGAGACCAGGGCTGACAGGTGGGGTAGTGTTGGTCTGCAGGCAACAGAGAGAGGTGCACCGCACCTCTCCTCAGCATTACCAGCACACACACAGATGCAGCCCAGTCTTCCCAGTGCAACGCACCACTGCAGCAGCCTGAAGGCCATGGGGCGAGAAGGGAACCCCAGGTGAGAGACAAGGAAGTAAGGAGAGGAAGAGGTGATATCCAGGAAGCAGAGCCACCTGAGCTGTGCCCTCCTTCCTGAGGTCCATGCTGGAGTTACAGGAACCTGCCCAGATCTCTCTGTCTTTGCTCAGCTGCAGCTCAGCTTTCCTGTGCTGGAATGCTGTGCCGCTACCCAGACAGCTGAAGGTTTCCTCTCCTAGTGCTGCCTTCTGCGTTGCAGATCCTCCCTGGCAGTAGCAGCCCAAGCTGTGAGGACTTAAGGGAGCTGCTCAGCCAAAGGAGGAGTATGGGGAAGGTCTGAACAAGGGCCTCGGGATGATGCAAGGCACATGCTAAACCCAGGGTGTCTGTGGGGTGAGAGCACTGAGAAGCAGTGCCTTGATCAGGAGGCAGATCTGCAAATGGAGCACAAGGAATAAAGCAAAGCATCCAGCTCACTCATTTGCCAAGCTGGGGAAGGGGCACCAGACAGACAGGTTTTGGCCAGGTCTGACTCAGAAAAGCAAATTCCACTTTCCAGTCACTCCCCAGCCCTTCACATTCTGCACTGCCTGTGTTGCAGGAGAAGGGCAATGCTGGCTGTCACCCTGCGGAGATGCAGGCAAGCCCCACTGCGGTTACCCACCCGGGGCAGGGAGCACGATGCAGCCCAGGCTCGGTTCCAGGAACTGTGTTAGCAGGGCTCTAGTCCATGCATTAGTCTCCTCCTAGGACTACGCAGTATTTAGATACTGCAGCGCTTTTACAGGGTCACACTAATGCCTGCTATAAACTGTTTACAACCCAGTTTTGTCCTAGGCTTTTGAGGTAAAATACATACACCTCGGCCACGCTGGTGGGGTTTCCAAAAGCTGATCAAGTGCCAATGACAGGATACAACCACAGCAGAGACGGAGGAGGAGCCAACTGCAGAGTCTAATCCCAGTAGGAACTGCAGCATCCCTGCTCCTCTCCCAGGCTGCAAAGGGCTCACAGGAGCAAACAACCGGCTCCACGGCTTTCCCCCGCAGAAGCAGCTGACTGAGGTTGCCTCCTTGAGCTCTTAACCAGCCTCGGATAAGTCCAGCATAGCAAACAAGCAGATGAAAGAGCTGGGGAAAGGGAAATCTGTTACAGAACAGAGTCACTGGGAGGAGAGCAGGCTCTGATATAAATGCCATCGTCATCGGCCCGCTGCAGTCTGACGGAATGAGGCAAAAGACTTGCCCTACTTCACTGCAAACAGGGTTTCCCTCCATCACTGGGAGCCTCCTTCACTGCTCAGGCTCATGCACTGGAGAGTGCTCAGCAAATCTGCTATTGCAGGTGCACTGAAACATCTCTGCAGTGCTTAGGAGGGCAGAACGGGTCCGGCCATGGCTTGGCCGACCCCTTTGTGGGATCCCAGTCAACTCTCTTCTCTGTGCTTCAGTTCACCATGCAGAACACATAAGGCAACCCTTACCAGGCCCCTGGGTGCTAATTGTAACACACACTGGGAAAGGCAAGGGGTAGGCTGCTGCTACAGCCTCTCCTCCCTCATAAATAGCATTTGCCCCTGATGTTGCCCCTGAGGTGAACAGATATGGAATCCTACACCTGGAGTTGCTGCTCTGGGATGCATGGGGAGGAATGGAGGGGATGACTTAAAACCAGCCATGAAGCAAAAGGAGATACCCACAATGCACAGGGCAGAGGCAGTAGAAAAGGGGGGACCCCATCACTGCTTGTGCTAAACTCCTTTGAGATCTGGGGGATCTTCTTCTAAAAATAAAAAAGCTTTGAGGGGATAAGCATGCCTAGCACCCCAGTGGCCAAGCACATACCTTAATCACCCCTGCAACCTTGACCCCGCAACTTTGAACACTAAACAACTCCAAAAATCCTTAAAGCTCTTCAAGCTGTTCTCTGTAACAGCCTGGCCCTGGCCTCATGCACTGTTCCCCTGTTTAACAAGAGCTTCCATGTCATCACCTCCCATGCCTCTCACCTGCCTCTCCCTGCAGAGACCTGCCTGAAATCTCCTATTCACCCCCAGAATGCTAAACCCTTACAAGATGCTCTGGCGTTCAGAGGGTTAGATGTCCTAGAGAGAGCCCTCTACAGGGCTGCAAAAACGGTCCAAAAGAAGCCCCAGAGCAGCAGCCTGAAGGCCCAAGTAGCTCCCGAGTGCCAGTCGGTGGCAGCAGCATACAGGGGACTCCAGTGAGACTCCTGAGAATCAGTTTCCATGGCTCTGCCCTATGATTCATTCACATCATTCAACAAATGCATAAGCCCTAAGCCCTTTGGCCTCAAATCCCCAGAATAAGAGAAGTAGGGAGGATCCAGTAATTTCTAGGAATTGCCACTGTCTCCCAAGGCCCTGGACAGCCACTGGCAACTGCTGGCCAGGATGGTCCCAGCAAACACTTACATCACACACCCCATACCTACAGCTGGCAGCGTTGCCAACTGCAGAGGAAAGGGAAAGGCTAAACATCTAGGAGCCAGGGAACCCTGCCAGCAGTCAGCTCCTGCAGCGGTTGCAAGGTCTCCATTTTACACAGCAACTTGGAGGAGGACTGGTTCTTTTCATCAGATCCCACCTGAGCATCAGGACAAGGACATCTTGTTCCTAGACTAAAGAACTTGTCCCTTGGCACTTCCTATCTTCCAAGTAAGCATTGCTGAGTGAAATTCAGCTCATCACAATTAAGTGTAGGTGTAAGCATGTGATGCCAAGAGGGAACAAGGTCTCAGTCAGCTCTGGCCAGTAGCTCTCGCCTTGCTAGGACAAGCTGAGAAGCACCTGAAGCCCTGTCTGGCTCCTGCACACAGCAACCTGAAACATGACGAGATGCGGTACCTTCAAACAGAACAGAGCATGTTTCCCATTTTCTAGTCCCCAAAAGTCTCCTCTGGCTCCCCACCAGCTGTGGCAAATGTACCCAGACATGGGATTCA